AATTCCAGAAAAGGAAAAAATGCAAAAAATTAGTAGTAACTTTTTACCAGTTCCATGTATGCCATAACAGATAGAATGAGGAAGGTGAATAAAGTGACCGGAAATACACCCGTTATCCATTAGTGCTACTGAAGCAACGCCTTCCATAACTTTTCCTTCCATTTCTTTTTCAGCTGCGGGTCTTCAAAAATTTGTTATTACATATAGAATGACATCTGCATATATATATATATATATATATATATATATATATATATATATATATATATATATATAAAGAAACATCTTACCCAGTACTACTGATGCTACTGTGAGAGAACTGATGCTACTGTGAGAGATGGCGACAAGTGCGGCTAGCCGGAGCGGTGGAACGAAGGCTTTCCGTGGGCCTTAGCGGGAGCGGTGGAACAAAGGCTTTTCGTGGGCGAACAAAGGCTTTTGGTTGATAAAGGGGACCATATAACAGTGCCAAACTTACCTAAATTACCATTTTAATGCGTAATACATTAAACAATTTTCATAAATTATTAATACAAGTTTATCCATCATACTTTAATATAATGTTTCAATCTCTTATCAAACAAGCATAATATATTTTAAAATAGTTATATAAATTATTAATACAAGTTTATCGATCATACTTTAATATAATGTGTCAATCTCTTATCAAACAAGCATAATATATTTTAAAATATTTATATAAATTATTAATACAAGTTTATCGATCATACTTTAATATAATGTGTCAATCTCTTATCAAACAAGCATAGTATATTTTAAAAATAGTTATAACATATATATATATATATATACTAATTTAGTATCAAGCTAAACGAAATTATCAACTTTAATGATACTAATACAATATATGATACTGATTTATTATTAGTTAAGTAAAATTAATATTAATGATATCAATACAATATATAATATTAATTTAGTATTAGTTAAGTGAAAATTATCAACCTTGAATTGGAGGGTATGAATTGTAGTTATTTATGAGAGCATGAGTACTTCAAGAAATACATTGGTTTTGGGCATAAAATTGTAATTATTTTAAATTTTTTCACTCATTTATGTAGTTTCCCCTTTATTAAAAGGTATTCATCCAAGTAATTTTTTCTATAATAGTTGTGTCATGATTCAGACCGTCATGATTGGAACTCACAATAACCCTCCAGTGGGAGAGCCATTACTACAACTCAAACTAAACAACTAAATCAAAAACTAAGGCATTTAAAAATACGAAAGCAGGTTCAAATGTCAAGAAAAGGAAACATGGAGTTTCCATAAATTTCATCAAAAGTCTAACAACCAAATACAGAAATAATGTCTAGAACCTGAAAGTTAATGTAGCAAAACTCTATCAAGGATCATAAGTTTAAGAAGATGGTTACAACCCAAATTAAATAACTATTAAAACTAAAGTACTAATCTAAATTCGAATAAGATGGACAGAGCAAAAGGAGAACTCATCGCAACCTGGAAGAACTGGCTCACATAAATTCGATTGATCACTTATCTTGTAGATGAGATCTGTCGGTAGTTGTCTAAAGATATTCTGCACTCAACAAAGAAAGAGAAAGTGCAGCATTAGTACACAATCACAGTGTATTGGTAGGATCACACGACTATCCCAATAATGAAACATATATATGTCATTACAACATAATAAACATGTGTACACTGAACATATACAATATTAATTATCACTTACGAATAACGTAAAATTTCACAATATCAAGATATACAAATATGCCAACACATTGGTCCTTTCACGGTACCCATATCCAAAATGTTAGTGTATCGGTACGTGGTATCCGATCCAAGTTAGTGTGCCAGACGTGACACCCAATGCCATATATGCGTCAAAACGTGACACCTGATCCAAATTAGTGTGTCGGAATGTAACACCCGACCCATTTCAAGAAGCCACAATCACAATCACAATGTACATTCTCATATTCATACAATCAAGTCATGATTCATGACATACAATTATTTATTCATCACTTACAATTAGTGTGATCAATAATGCAACATTTGCATACATGCATGCATTATAATGAAGAAATTATAAATACATATCGCACCAACATGAAATCACAACCATCACCTACCTCGAACAAAGCTTAAATCCCATAAACTTGGTTCTTTCCTTTCTAGATTCTTTCGACTTGTTCTTAGCCTACAAACAATCAATATAACACGAAGATCAATAAATAAGATCTAATTACCCAAATTATAATCAATAATATCCATCCTAGGTCAAACTCTTGATCCCCATGCCCATATTAGGGTTTTTTTCCACCATAAATCCCATATCAAAATCCTCCTCCATCAATAATTACCCAACAAACTACGTTCTACGGATCGAAAAATGGTTTTCAGGAATTAAAAGCTTACACTTGGTGCTAGAAGAGGTGGAAAACCTTCAAAAAATACCCATGGGTCGTTTCTTAGCTCTCAAGGTCAAGAATTGCAGAATAAAAATTTTGAGATTTATTTCCGAATTAAGTTGCGTGTGTCCCTCCATAATGGTCCTCAACCCAGTATAGCGGCCCCACCCTGGCTGAAAAATCTTGCCTTAGAGGCTCGCATGGAAACAGTGAGCGAATTAAAGATTTAAACCCTCATTTCACAACACACCATTTTCCCATGACACTCGGAAAATATCCGTTCACACTAAAATCGATTTCAGGAGTTCTACTCGTCTGAATTCAATTTTGTAAAGTCATACGAATTCTTTAACGTCTTAACTATCTACTCATGTGATCATATTCATAATTATATCTCCCATTCGTTACCAGTTTTCTGTGGACCTTACTGACTCCGAGTTCGTTTAAATGTGGGATAGGTTAAAAAATTTGAAGATACTACCAAAAAAAAATTGTCCAAATTTTTTTTCTATTGGCTTTTCTATAATAATCAGAATCGGTCCTTACAAATTTCCCGTATTTACGGCCCAAACGAACATTCAACATAGCCAATCATACCTTACTTTTACATTATTAAGTTATAGTACTTAATTATTTGGGGGGGGGGGGACAACACAAATTCCACCTTTAAATTGTTCTATTTATGTGAAATTGCCCTTTCCCATAATCATATATTATTATAAGCATGAACCTCTTAACCCCAAAGTTAATTTACCATTTTAACCCTACAATATCATTTATATATTAATTTAGTAAATATATTAGTTAAACCTATTAACCCTATATTAGTTAAACCTATTAGTATTGATTATTATAAATTTAATTTCCTAACAGCCCTAATTTAATTTTTCAGAAACGGCCATCTGCTCCACTTCTCTTCTGACGGTTATGAAGTTTCATCATCTTCTTCCAAAACCTTTTCATCTACTCTCATCATCTGTATAAATGTCTCAAATCACATGTTATTGTCCATTAAATTGTTTCTCTTTTTTGTGTCTGGATGATATACAGGTAAATATTTTTGGATGAGGAACTTAGCTATTCTTTATCATCAGCTCTGCCCTTTGATATGGAACTTTTTGCCTGCAGGGATTTGTTGACAGAGAAACTACTCTTATTGGAACATTGACAGTCCGTGAATTCCTCTACTACTCAGCATTGCTTCAGCTTCCTGGTTTTCTTTGTCACAAAAGAAGTTTGGTGGACACCGCTGCATGAAAGGTCTTCGAAGTGGCGAGAGAAGGCGTGTCAGTATACAGGTAAATATTTTTGGTGCTCTGTTTTTGTTGCCTAATAGTTACAGTCAATTTTTGATGTTAATGCTTTGGTTTTACTCTGTTTTGCTGCTAATTGCAAATATATGTACACCCTTAGCCTGGGGATAATCTGAAGGTAACTTTTGATGAACATGAAGTATCATGTTGGGAAAGTCTGTTTGTTGCACAAAGGAACGTGGATTGGACTATCTATATCATTTTCTGTAATTTAAAGGTGAAAAAGGAAAAGCAAAAATCTACAGAGAAAAATAACGGGCACCTGCTACATAAACTGCATAGGCGTATGGATATACATATTATTTGAAAAACAAAGTGCTGACCTGATTCACAATGGTTGAGTTTGATTGCGTACTTGTAAGTTGTAATTAATGTCTCTCTGAAGCAGGTTGTTGCGCGTTCAAAATAATTGAACTTTGTGCTGCAACAGATTTGAGAGTCGGTTGACTTTGAGAAACAATACTAACTAAATGGGCCCCAAATAGAGCCATTATAATTAGTCAGAACTTCTATGTCAAAATAATTGGGCAGTTCTAGCCCTATTCTGGCCACAGTTCCTTTTCGGGAAGAAGCAATTATTTTTTGGGCATTTACACAACTGAATTGGTAGAATCTCTTCTCTATTGTAGTATTAGCATTTAATATTGGAGGATGATAGTCCTTACCTTTTCCAGCGTTGATCTATCAAAATTAAGCTGATGCTCAAGTTTCTCAACCGTCCAAATCAAATGCAGCACATCAAGATCTAGACTTGTTGTGCCAGAAAGTGCTCTTGCTGAAAGAGAGACTTTCACTCCCTGTATGGAAAAACTACATCCATCCATATTACTAGCAGTGCTCAAGATTGGTGAATCAAGCTTCCAATGATTTAACAAACAAAAGCACAGCTAAACATGGCAGAACTAAGAAGTAGAGAAGACCTCTGGATAACCAGAGTTTTAGGTCCCAAACATAAAGGAGAAACAATAACAACCAACAATTACGGAATGGGAATCAATAAAGCTTGTTGGACATCCATATACAATTTCTTGATTGCTATAGGTATACAAGTTTGTTAAAATAGTTTAGTGATCTATTACTTCAATGCACTGTACTAAGAGCCGTTTGGATTGACATAAAAAAGTAGATTTTAAGTCGGAAATAATGTCAAACTTCAATGACTTTTAAGTCAAAAAATAAAAAGTAGGGGGAGGCTTCTTTGAGTAGAGAAAAATGTACACCACTACTAAACCGAGTGGAGGAAGTCCTTGCAGTTATTGCTGATGCAGAAGCCTCAAAGGAGGTTGACATTTCATTATGTGAAGTTGTGCTTGGCCTAATCCAAAATTGACAAGTTACAGATGACTTTATTTACCTTTGAACTGGTTTGACAACTCTAAACTTATCCCTGATTTAATGGCAGGTTGCTGAATCCATTCGAATTGTTTAGATCCAAGGTAATTTCCTACTCTGCAACTTGAAAGTAAATAACACGAATTTGCGTAAGATTGTACATGTTTCACTTACTAAAGAAGTGAAGAATAAAGGCAATAAAATTTACAAGAGTTATGATTTGCTTGCTGATCCTGCTTCAGACGTTAAGCAGACATGCAAAAATAAACATGTAATGTGAACAGATCAAGTCAAGAGACACAAAAATGAGTTGGACGCCTGTTACCCCCCGTAATTGACCCCTAAGCTCGGGGGAATCAGAAACTATTGTATCTTTTCTAAAACAGCACTGTCCCTTGATTTCCACAATAATGTTTGCTTATGAAACCTTTTTTCACTTGGTTCTGGTCTCTTTCTGATTGCATTACAAAGGGGAACAAAAAGAAAAGCCCTAGGATGAGTCATCGAATTTCTTAGCCTGGAGAAAACTATCAGATAGAAAGCCAATGAGCTAATGATGACTAGCATTTTCTGGATGCCCTATAAATCAGTCTGTTCCAGGTAACCCCTGTGGTGTTAGATCAGAAAAGTGACCACATCCAGTTCCGATTTTCAACTAAATATTGCAAAAAGCCGCAAACTTTTCACCCAAAATCAAATAAGTTGAATCATTTCAAGAAAATTAATCAATCTTGCTATACATAATGAATTCTTAGATGAGAACAAAAGGGGTTACCTGGAACAGAATGATAGCCACGAGCATAGTATTCAGAAGGTTCAAGTACTGATCCAGGTGGAGGAACTGGCAGAGGAAAACCAAGTACTGGTTGAGGAGGTGGTATACAATGGTATGGCATGCTTTAGGATTTGGAAGCACTTTATTAATAACTCCATTTATCATCTTACATAGGGAAATATATTTTTTCATTTGATAAGATACTTTGCCTTGATTTGTAGAAACTAAATTTTGCACGTCTTCTTTAGTCTACATCTTAGGATATTGTAAAAATGGAAATTGGAGTCAGTTACTCCCTTTGATTTTGAAAAGCATGACATGCAAACAGATTGTCCACCAAGGACTTTTCCGTTTTGAATTCTATACGTTTGCAATATTTCCGTTATAGTAACTTGTTACATTTTTATTGATTTACTTCTATTTGAATCTATGTTTATCATCTCTTCATGTTCTAATAATGTTAGCAGGTTTCTTGCTATTGGAAACACAAGAATAGGTATTATTTCTCCACCCTCAAACTTGCTTCAATTAATGTGATATTTATACTATTGTTAGTTGAAGTTGCTCGGTTTAAAATTTTAAAAAGAAAAATAGTTTATGTTTTGTGAATATTACATTCTTGATCATCTTTATTATTATACCAAAAGAACACTAATTATATAAAAACAAATAGCATTTACGTCACAAATATATATTGTATTAGTACATCCTAGATACTACAACAATACAATGACAAGTCTAGAAGAGCTCGAGAACCAGTGCCTACCAATTAGCAAGTTGAAGAAATATGCAACAGAATGGGTTATTAAAGTCTTAGTCATTCGTCGGAGTTTAACAAAAGAGTATAAAAATACAAATGGTGAAGGTATTCGTTGGCAACTGATATTAGTCGATGAAGAGGTAACTCTATTATAATATTTTGTTATATACATTATTTAATATGTTAACTTCTTTTGGAATTCTAATAATAATGCTCCTAACCATAGGGTACAAAAATACAAACCACTCTTTTCAACAAAGATGTTCATGCATGGAATAAGTCTTTTCAACTTAATCAAAGTTACTACATTATAAGTGGAAAATTAAATCGACCTAAACCAAACTTCTTATCCGTACATAAGGAGCTCGAACTAGCATTTATGAACAACACCGAGGTCGTTGAGGACAAAAGTCATTTTAAGACTGATCAATTTTCAAATGGATTTATTACATTTGATGAAGCTGAAAAAATCACTAATGGAAGTTTGTTTGGTAAATTTCACAAAATGTTTATTGTTTGTTCCATACATTAAGAAAATAGGGTTTTTAACACATTATTTTGTATAGATGTGGTGTGTATTTTACTCACAGTAAAAGCACTAACTGGAGAAGGACGAAGCATTAGACGCGAAGTAATCGTTACAAACGAAAGGTAACATATACTTTTTATGCATCCTACATATAAATATTTTACGTTAATAAACATTTATCATAAAAAAAATTGTACTTGTATATGTATGATCGAAAAGTCATGACTTTATGGGGAGACTTTGCTGAAATCGAAGGTCAAATGTTACAAAGCCTTGAAAGTGAAAAACCAGTTCTTGCCTTTTGTGATGTAAAATCATCAATTTATCAAGGTATACATCTCCACACTTGATATATTTGAGTCAATTTTCAAAGTACATAAAAGTATCACTGAATTAATTACTCCTGTTGAAATAGGGGATTTTGTCCTTTCCACAACTCCTGTTAGTAGTTTGCTTATAAATCCACAATTTGAAAAAGCGAACAATCTCCAAAAATGGTAAGTAATACATGTTTCATCACACTTATTTAGAGGCTACCCACATGCTACATCATTAATATTTTTTATTCATTTCTTAAAAATTTCAGGAATGACAACATGAAGGCAGAAAAGGTTGACATAAGTCTAATGCCAAGCAGACTGATGCAAACTGCCCGTCAAGTGAAAATTAGTAATATTTTAAATGGTTCACTTGCCATTGTGAAGGTACTTTCCTATACACACTCATCTTTTACTCCAATTATATATTACAAATGTAATTACGTGATTTACTAAATTTATGTATAGGACATGTACTATAAGTTTAATGCTACGGTTACTGACATTGACAGTAACACCGACCCATGATATCCTGGTTGCAACAAATGCTACAAGCGAGTTACTGTTATAAATAGTGTTGCAACTTGTACCTACTGTAGAGCTGAAGATGTTGATTATGAGGCGAGGTAAACTACACAAACAACCAAGAACAAATATTGCTTACTCCAGATGCATGAAAAAAAATTATTAACTAATGAGCTTACTATGTCGCTATCAAATAATTAGCACCACACTGATTAAAACATCCAATTTAATTTAGATATCGATTAAAGATTGATGTCACTGCTGAGGATCAATTTCTAAGCATTACAATGTTTGATGCTGCAAAATACTATTTTGGTTGTAACGTAAAAGAGTATGTTCTCTCTCCATCTGAAAAGGTAAATCACTTACTCTATGAAATATTGGCCTGTATAAATAACTTTACCCTATTTCAATTGTAAGGCTAATATATACGTTTTCATATTCCACAGAAAGAACAATCACCATACTATCACAAGATGGTATTGAGTAAAGGGAAAGAATTCAGTATACTTGTTAAGATTGATCGTAAATTCCCAGATGTTGACACAAACATGAATGTGATAGCTATGGAGATACATGAGGTTTCCAAAAAATTACCACCAGATCAAACCAAGGTTAAAATTCCAATTACAAAACAAAGAAGCAAGAGGACGAAGATACTAAGTGATGATGAAAAAATGAAAGGAATAGTTGCAGGCATACCTCATATTGAAAAAGATATTGCAGCAGTTGAAACTGACATTGAAAATCCACACAAAAAAAATACATGCAAGAGGACTAACAACATTAAGCAAGTCATTGCAGATGATAATCCACAGAAATTGAGGATACATGAGGTAGAAAAACATATTGTACTAGATGAAAGTGACGACGAAGCCCCACTAATTCAACTACAAAGAAAAAGGACCAGGAAAGTTAAAGGAAAAAACATCATGCCCTATCCGATGGAAAAGAAGATCAAAGAGGAAAAAAATAATATATAATTGATTTTAAATTTCCTTATTTTTATCTACCATTATCTCCCTAATATTTAAAAACAACTTACATTTTTTCACCAAGCAACTTCACCTAACATCGCTTTTATTTTTAGCTTACTTTCCTACATCCATGAATTTTGTTAACTGTTTCACTAAACATTCAATGTATGCAATTTATTACTTCAAAACAGATCAACAACAATCTTCTGCTGCAATGTATATCCTCATACATAAAAAAAGGTTTGCATACATCCTACCTTATAATAGATGTTTTTTCTTATATATGTCAAATATGTGACTACAATTGCCATTAATGATTCTGTTATGTTTTAGATCAATGCTAAATTACATATACTAAATAGGAAGAGATAAGAGAAGTGTCACACCAACAATCCAAATTTTATCACCATCAAATCAACAATGACACATAACCAACATCAAGGTAAATCTAATATGTTAAGTACTTATCACAACTCAAAATTAAATTTAACCCTTCTATTCACTTCACTTCACATGTGATACAAATATAACCACTCCTTTCATGCCAAATCAAGCAGGTGATAAAGGAAAAAACATTCCTTCTTCCAGTAAAACTCATCAGCATGACAACAATATAAAAAAAAGTTCAACCAACACAGGTAAGAACTTACATAATCATGTAAAATCCAACATACATGAGTACTTAGTACAATGCAAACATATTCTCATACACATACAAAAATATTACATCCTTTGTCTAAATGTATCAAAAAATGTTCCCTTTACAGAGAAAAGTCAATTACAAAGCGCATTGCAAAGAGTGGATAAGTATATATTAGCAACCCAAACAGTATCACATCTCGAAGATGAACATCCACGTTTGAAAAAGCAGCGTAAAATCAATTGGCTATTTAGAGCATTATCTCAAGAGTCTGAAGTTAGAGGTACATCGGAAAACCCTATTCATATCTTACATAACTTGAACGTTCAATAATATCAAATTACATTTCTAACATATCTCTAAAAATATTTCTATATATAGGAATTGTTGCTTATAAATTATCTTTATCATATCTGCACGTGCTGAAAGCCGTCCCAAAATGTATTTATTGTGCTGCAAAAAGATTGGAACATGAACCTCCAGCATTCTGTTGTGCAAGCGGATATATCAAATTGGCAAACACTGAAGCACCAACAGAACTATATGAAATGTTTGTGGCATCTACTCCAGACGCGGTAGAGTTTCGCAAAAATATTCATGCATATAATAGTATCTTTGCTTTTACATCTTTTGGTGTTAACCTGGATAAGGAACTAGCATCTGCAAAAAAAGGAGTATACACATTCAGGGCACAAGGTCAAATTTATCACGATCTACCATCGTTGCTACCACGTGATAACAATCCATGTTACTTCCAACTATACTTCTTTGATACAGACAACGAATTGACGAACAGGCTATCGAAGGTGAATGAAGGAATTCTTTCAGACCATATTGCAACAAAAATCAAACAGGTAATGGAGAGTAACCCATATGCACAAATATTTTGCCAATTAAAAAACCAAACAAGTTTCCACAATTTTCAACTTCGTATTGCTGCAAATGCCTCTTTGGATCAACGAGTGTACAACAGACCCTCGGTAAGTCAAGTAGCAGCAATTTGGATCAATGGAAACAATCCAAATATACCTTTTGATCGAGAAATAATTGTTCATGAGCACTCGGGGTACAAATATAGAGTAAAAAACTATTTTGGTTGTTATGACCCTCTTCAATATCCTTTGTTATTCCCAAGAGGTGAAGGTGGATGGCATCAAGGAATAAGAAAACAAAGCAAAAGACTGCCTCACAGAAGAAGTGCTCACTCACCACCTATACTCAATGATATTCCAACATTCATATCAGCTGATGCAATATTAGCCAACGAGGATCAAGGTAAAATATATTAGGGAAAATACCCAAGTACCCCCTCAACCTATACCCGAAATCCCAGAGACACACTTATATTATACTAAGGTCCTATTACCCCACTGAACTTATTTTAT